GAAGATCAAATAGCTCAAGTGCTTGTGCACCTAACTAATGCAGAATTTTATGTTTTAAATTTTTATTATTTTAGACTTGATTTTGAGATTAAAGATCACATGTATGAAAAAAATATGCAAGATCATGCTTGAAAATTTAAATTTTATGATAATCAAGGTATAACAAATAATATTCCCCAAGAAGGGCTTTGATCCTCCCTACTTATTTTTGGTAATGTATGAAGTGTCAAAGATAAGGAAATGAACCAAAATGCGTACATATGGTTTAATTAATTCTATGATTTATAATTAATTTAATAGTTGATTATAGTGTGGGTTCTATTTTTTTGAATTATTTTTAATTTTAAAGTTTTTAGTAAGTAGTTAAGAAAATTTAATTATGGTTAAAAAGCCTAATGCATAAAACACCATGCTATCTTAAGCACACAACAAAAAAGAAACCTAAAAAGTAGACATTTTTATGCACTAGCAGTGTAAGCAATCCACAAATCATGCATATACGAAAAATAAAAAAAAATAATAAGAAAAACACACTAATGTGGTTGGGTTCTGCGATATGTCTCAGAAGAAAAAAAAAAAAGAAAAAATGATTTATACCTATACAATTTGGTGAATCCTTGAAATAAGGACTTGGCTTGTGGGTTCTTTACATCCTCCAAGTTCGCCTTTCATGATTCAGGTCCTCCAAGCATCACAAGGAATCACTAGGCAGTTCGTCATTTGTTATCCTATTCCCACAGGCCCTAATCATTTTATATGAATTAGATTTAAAATAAATGCCTAAATAGAACTTTACAAAATAGAAGCCAGTAAAGGCAAACCAACACACATAATTAGGTTAAAGTCACTTATGTGGACTTAACATCGATAGAAAACAAATCATCTATCTTGGTAGACTATGCTTATGAGGCATAAGCACAATAGCTAGCACCTACAAAACATTTGTTAGTTTTATATTTGTCATTTCATGCCCCACTAATCACAAAACATATATAAAACAAGTGTTAGGCTAAAATGCCACCATAATATTTACAAAACATTTGCTAGTTTTAAATTTATTTTCATTTCATGCCCCACTAAGCACGCTCCATATAGAAAAGAGGTGTTAGGCTAAAATTTCACCAAATTATCTCTTTTAAGCACAATCAATCAACTTAATGTCGATCTAAAATAGTAATCTCAACAAACGCAAAAAATGTAAACCAATTACATGACAATACAATCACACAACCACCACCATTAATTAAACCTAAATTTTGGTTGGTGGCATGAGGCTAGTCTAAATCCTTTGTTTGTGTTGTATTTTTGTTAAGGTTTTATCATAGGATGATTCATATTAAATTATTTAATATTTTTTAAGTGATTTTAATTTTTACTTAATTTATGTTCAAGTTATAAAGAGTACTACGAATGACTAACTCAACTAATAGAGGATCCTACTATTTATAACTCTTTAATCCTAATAAGATAGATGCCCAACTCAATAAATGTGGCACACCACCTTAAAAAACTAAGATGACTTGAGTAGCTTTTGATTTGATTTATTCGCTTGCGCCACACTGATACCAAATAATCTTACAAAACCTGAAATCATGTACTCTTCACATTTTAGCGATGTTAAAGAGTAAAGAGAAAAGTGGAGGATTGTGTTAGGTAGTCGATAGCAAGCATAAAACTGTCAAAAAATCATAACATGATTCCTTTTGATCATTTTGTGAATGTTAGGGCGTCCCGTGAAAGCGACGTGATGATGGTATGAATACAGTGAAAAGTGTGTAAGAGTCGCTACTCCGACACCCAAATGTAGTGTCAAATAAATAAGAGATCTCAAATTACAGATAGATGCATGTAAATAAGTTAGTTCATGAAACTAATATTAGGATAGGATCTTGGAATATAGGTACTCTCACAGAAAAATTAATGGAATTAGTTGATATTATGATTCATAGAAAGATAATTATCTTATGTATTTAACAAACAAAATAGCTTGGAGACAATAATTAAGGAGATTGATAACTTAGGTTTTAAATTTTAGTATTCATGTAAGAGTCACACTAGAAATGTAGGTGTAATTATAGATAAGAGTTTGAAAGATAATGTTGTAAAAATTAATAGAGTAGGAGATAAAATTATAGCCCTAAGATTATCTTTGATTATTGTTGATACTAAGTTTTTTATAATATAAGTGCTTATGATCCTCAAGTAGGTTTAGATATAGGTTCTAAAGATAAATTATGGAATGACATAGAATACTTAATACAAATGATGCATCTTGAAGAAAGAATTTTTATTAGAGGAGATCTAAATGGACATGTCGATAGAGTGGAAGAAAATTTTAGAAATATTCATGGTGGCTACAATTTTGGAATGATAAATCAAGAAGGTAGAGTCATATTAGATTTTGCTTTATCATATGATTTTGTTATTACTAATATTTTATTTAAGAGAAGAGATAGACATATTATTACTTATAAGAATGAATCTAATAATACACAAATTAATTATTTTCTCATGAGAAGAAATTGTTGAGAATGTAAGGATTATAAGGTAATTCCAAGTAAGGATTTAAGTACTCAACATTGATATTAGTTCTAGATTTTAAGATGAAGAGTTATAAAATAAAGAATACTAGGAATTATTGTCATAGAATTAGATGTGAGCATCTAAAAGACAGATAAAATTATTTTTATGAGTAAACTTCAAAATTTCAAGAAATGGGATGTTCATGAAGAAGCAAATTCTATGTGGAATAAAGTAACAAACACTATTAAATAGGTGAAGAAAGATGTATGTAGAGAAATAAAAGAAAAAATTTCTATAAATAAAAATAGTTGGAGGTGAAATAATAATGTGCAAGAAAAGATAAAATATAAGAACTTATGCTATAAAAATTGGTTTAAATGTAAGAACTTAGAAACTGTAAAAAACATAAAATGACCTGCAGAGAGTCTAAGAGAACAATTTGTGACACTAAAAATTTCTCTTTTAGTGATCTTTATAATATTTTAGATACTAAAGAGGTGAAAAATATATGTATAAACTAGCCAAACAAAGATAAAAGAAAAGTAAAGTGTATAAAAGATGAAAATAAAAATGTATTTTTCTTAGAAAAAAGAAATTTAACATAGGTGGGTGGCTATTTTGCAAACTTTTTAATGAAGTTTCTGAAAATATAATCGATCTTAGTGATCTTAATTTCGTTAATAATAATAAAATGTTTCATTTTTGCTGTCGCATTAGTAAAAAATAAGTTGAGGAGGTTTTAAAGAAAACCAAAGGTGGGAAGAATGTAGAACCTGATGATATCACAATTAAAGTGTGGAAATATATAGGAGATTTAGGAGTTTCTTGGCTTGGTAGACTCTTTAATATTATTTTAAAACCTAAAAAGATGCATGAGTGGAGGAAAAGTATTTTGGTCCCCACTTTTAAGAATAAAGGGGATGCACAAGAGTGCAAATTATAGAGGAATTAAGTTAATTTGTCATATTTTAAAATTATGGGAGAGGGTAGTTAAGACGTATTACAAAGATTTCTCATAATCAATTTAGATTTATGTCGAGCGGGTCTACTATGGAAGCTATAATTTATTGAGAGGTTTGATGGAGAAGTTCAGAGAGAATAAAAGAGGATCTATATATAATTTCTATTGATTTAGAAAAAATTTAGATAAGGTTCCAAGAGATATCCTTTGGAGAGTTCTAGAGAAGAAATGAGTTGATATAACTTATATTCAAGTCATTAAAGATATTTATAGTAGAGTTGTTACTTGTGTTTCTAATAGAAGGAAGATTGACCAAATATTTTCCTATTTTAGTTGGATTACATCAGGGATCGGCTTTAAGCCCATATCATTTTGCTTTAGTTGTGGATCTTACTGGACTTTTACAGAAGGATGTGCCTTAGTGTATGTTTTTTGCTGATGATATCCTTCTCGTGAATAAGACAAGAGAGAAAGCTAAAAAAAACTTGAATTGTACAAATCCAAAATTAGAGTCTAAAAGCCATCGTTTGAGCAGAACTAAAACTGAATATATGGAATGTAATTTTACTAGTAATTGCTCTAGTGACTGAGTTGTAACTATGAGCAATCAAATCATTAAAAGGTGTGAACGCTTTAAATATCTCGAGTCTATTGTTCAAAGTGATGGTGATATGGATGGGGATGTTATTAGTAGAATTCAAATTAGCACCTTTGAAGTGGAAGAATGCTTCAGGCCTATTGTGTGATAGAAAGGAACCGCTTAGACTGAAAGGAAAATTTTATAAGATAATTTTGAGACCCGCAATACTCTATGACGTTGAATGTTGACCTTTGAAAGAGAAGCATGAAACTATATTTGTGTTGTCGAGATAAGAATGCTCAGGTGGATGAGTGGCTAGGCAAAATGCAAAATGAATATTTCTGCTATAGAGTTGGTGTAACTCCAAAGGAGGACAAAATTAGAGTTGTTATAGATGGCTTGGTCACATTAAACATTAACCATCCAATTAGGGGAGTAGATATTTTAGATTCAATTTATGTTAAGAAAAATAAATACAGACCTTGAAAGACTTAGATATATTGTATAAAAAATGATCTTAATTTATTAGAATTAAATGAAAATATGACACTCAATAGAACTCGATAGAGAAAAAATGATTCACGTGGCTGACACCACTTAGTGGGATAAATTTTTATTGTTGTTGTAAAGAGTAAAGAGAATAAATCTCACCACTTAGTGGGATAAATGTTTATTGTTGTTGTAAAGAGTAAAGAGAATAAATCTGAAGCTATTCAAAAACCAGGAAAGCTGAGAGGATACAACACCAATCTCATTTGTGAAAGCCAGCATCATGCATTTTTACAACTTCACACCTCTACACTGAAGCTGCAAATTTCAGAGATATGAAACACCATTTATCAACACAATAACATAAAACAATCAAAATAAATATAAAAGAATAAAAAAAAAATAAAAAAAAATTAAGAGCAAAGAGCAAGTTATTGCCGGTGAAGATTAAACAGAAAGACTTATTTCATATTATCAAAACGGTCGAAAATTTGCTATACAAGCAATGTAATGTATAATAAGACCTTAAGTTCATGAGAATTACAATGAAAATTGAGACTCTATCACAAAGTCTACAATTATGCAATGGGAGGGTGTGCCGTATTGAACAAAACAAAAACAAGAATCAAACATAAAGTTCACATTTGTTCAGCCTATTTTACAAACTAACACTACCCTCCCTGACTTAAATATGCCGCCTGCTGACTCTGCTGAAGCATTCTCAAGACACATCATTTACAGCTCATTAACATAGAATTTATAACATGAATGATTAATCGAATGCTTGAAGCTTCAGCAACTGTGGTTGTCTGGAGTGTTCTCTGGTGCAGAAGTCTGTTATAAACCTGCTCAAATATGGGTCGAACGTGCGATGTGATCATTGGATCTGTTGGATTTATGGCAACAGAAACATCCGTCATCCAGCCGAGCTTCCGCTGAGTTTCAGTGCTGATGTCGCAGGATAGCTGCTGAAGAAGGGCAAGCAGGACGCCTTGACTGAGAGGAAGCGGAGCCATAGAACAAAGCCCATGCAGATCTACCTGCACAAGTTTCGTGCCGGAGTAATGAGTCTCTGTGTCATTGCAGCTCATAGATATTAAGAGCTAATAGGAAGTTTATGAGTATGTATGAGTAATGCATTTCTTAGACAGCCCTCATTTGAAGGCATTGATTTATTAACAAAAAAAATGAGGGAAGCCTCCCCCAAACACAAGTTTTGATCTCTTTCTGTCCACAAACCCAAGTTCTAGAACTCATGGCGAACGACAATCGACATTTATCCGTTGCTCAACAATAGGATTGCAACAGAAAATTACCCTTAGGTTAAGTGGTTGTTCAGTTTGTTGATTGCTAAACAGATGTCTACTATTTGATTTACTGTCAATTTTTAGATGGCAACTTTTAGATGGTTTTCACATCTGGATCCCATGCACTTGACAGAAAAATGAATAACAAAAAAAATATATGACATCACATTGTTTAAGAAAAAGTTGATCCAGCTGCATGGCAATTCAAATAGCATTGCTATCTAGATGACATTAAACCAAACAGCCCCCTAAAGTAAAAAAAAAAATAAGTGGACAAAATTCAGTAGCAGTCTTCAAGAAAATATGAACAAAATGAAGCAATCGGAAAAAAATACCTGTGAACATAACCAAGATACAATGGAAACATCACTTCTCTGGAGAGCTAATGTAAATGCTTCATCAAATTTGCGTTCAGATATCAGTCTTGTGAGCTCCTTTGTAGGATCAACGGGGGCCTCAATCTGTTGGACAGACAATGCCTGAAAATAAAAGTTAAAAAATAAAAAAGAATTTTTTATGGCTACACTGTATAAAATAATTGGCAAAATTAAATTTTTTTTAAGAAAACAATTATTACAATATCAGGATGACCACCCAATGGACCATTGCTCTGCTGCATTGCTACGGGATTAGCTTTTGAATTTCCTGAAGCAAAGAGCGCCAAGAGCTTTTGCTGGCCATCAGCTAACTCACTGACAAGGTTCTGGGTGATAGATGATGCAGAGTTAATTGAATCCTGCAGAAAAAAAAACAAAGTTGGCTAATTTGGGAAACTATTACACGGACTTCAACTTTATTAGAATAGTTTAAGTAAGAAGTTTCAGCCAAAAAATCAGTTAGAAAAGTCCAAGAAACACTAAAAGATGTTATATTATTAAATACCCTCAAAGTCAGTGCAAGTTGGGTATGTGTGGATTCATATTGCTGCTGAGCCGCAGCCACGTGATCCGTTAAACCTTTCTGGAAGGCTTCATCTATCTGCTCAAACAGCCCTCTGCAAGATTTCTCAAACGCAGGAACCACTGATGATTCCAGAGTAGATTTCAGTGTATCCTACATTTTCCATAAGAAAGAGAAATATGAAAACAGAAATTAGCCTTCTGAAATTACAAAATAAAAAGATGCCAGAACATTTATGCTTGGACAAGGTCTATATAAAAATAATAAAATTTAATAAATTAAGAAACAAGTGGAACGGCCAAATTTCAGTTATAATACCTGCAGGGTCTGTTTGCCTGAAGTTTGAAATTGTGACTGAATTTGCCTCGCCAATGAAGCTTCCAGCTTTGAACCGATAGTTTTCTCAAGCTGACTAACTGTTTTATCTGTGACCCCTCTCTTGAAAAGAACATAGGTAGTTTAGGATATAAAAAGCCTTAATGAAAAAAAAAAAAAAGAAGAAGATAATAACAGAAGTCAGATTAAACCTGAAAAGAGTCACCCATAGCTGAAGAAATGCATTTTTCAATGTTAGGGGTGATTGCACGAGCCAACACCTGGCCCACTGCAGATAACTCCTTCTTAATTGTCCTCTCTACTGCAGCAGGACCTTACTAAGGCAGTTCGTAATTAGGCTTGTTAATTGCTGCATGTTCTCTCTTTCGTTCTTCTCTTGTTTGGCATTTTCCTCTTGAATATGAGCCCGCAAAGAATCAATGTTGGCCTTGATAGATTTCTCCATGCTCCGGCCGAGAGCAGCTTCCAACCTTCTCCCTTCCTTGACAACAGGAGCAGACACAACCTCAGCCATCTGCTTCTCTATCTCCTTTTGATTCGTCACTAACTGCATGAAACCCAGTTAAAATCATCAAACTCTTACAAATAACAGGAAAATATGACATCTAGTATCACAGATAAATTCAAAACTGGGAGCACAGTAAAAAAACAAGGATCATAACAGGGTAAACATATTTTAGTAACATGTAACCACAGCAAAAGCTGTAGCATATCTAAATCACCATAGTTAGTGAAGAAACAATATGGCCCAGCACTATATGTATGAAACTGGCACAAAGCGACAAGCAAATAGCAAAATAATCACTCGGTACACATCCTCAAAGCAGTTCAATATGAGAATTATCAAAGAAGATCATGAATCACTCAATAAAGCAGACACATACCTACAAGAAGAAAAACTAAGTCACTTCAGGCTGTGCACACTTGTTTCACCGACATTTTAATGTTAAGGAAAGCACTATCAATTTATACTTCTCAGATACACATGGATATAAGAAGGGATATAAGTCCAGGCAACAGTCATTGACATGACTAACTTTTAGAAATTCATCTGAACATGACCAATTCTTTGCAATAGCCATTGACATGACCAACTTTCTACAAATTCATCTGAACTGGCAGCCAGCTTGCAATTCATGTAGCATTTCTTAGAAAACTTTGTTGGATGCACGGTTCACTGTCTACTGCCATGGAGCCAACTTGCTCTTGTATATTTGTTTTACCCATCTGTTCTCCGAAAGGCCCAGCGCATTCAAGGCAAATCAATTTCCAAATGTGCAAAGAGCCAAGTGACCACCATATATGGGTCCAAGAAAAGTATGAAGGCAAAAAAGTAACATTTATATCATTTATATATTTAATTTAATTAAAAGAAATACATTTAAAGTGTAAAATGATAAAATATAAAATATGATAAACAGAATAACGATTTTTTTAAGTTCAATCACAACTCAAGTTCAAAGAACTTGCTAAACATAATATAATTAAAAAGGACTAAATTACTTGCGTTTGCAATGCACATAGATTCTAAGGATAATCTAATCTTCACTACTATAAATTCCATCTTTGTCATCATCGATGCCTTCTTCTATATAACTAAATTTGTAGCCCTCTTAATATTCAATCAAATTTCTTAGGTTCACCTCTTCATCTTTAAGATTTACTATTCAAGTTTCTCTCTTACACCTACATTTCATCCATGGTTTCAGAAACTAAACAGATAATTAGTCTGACTGGTTCAACTATGAATCAATATTCTGGCCAATTCAGTACAAGTTCAAAACCATTTCTGTACAAAATTAATAAATATTTAGGTTTGACAGGCAAATCAAATTAATTTTTTATGAACCGGCCAATTCCAACATTGATCAATTTTTGGCTTTTCTAGTCAAATAGCTAGAAATAAAAGATTTAGATAAAAAGTAGAAAATAGTTGAAATATCACATCCTAAATTTTGATTTAAAATTATATTCAAAATATTCAAAAATGAAGTGTCCTAAATTATATTATTGTATATCAAATTGATGAAAAAAAATATTATTATATCATTAAAATCATAGAAAACATTTTCATATTTATTACTTCATTCATTAAACCCTAATTGCACTGTTGAAAGTTGAACCTCATATTCTTCGATTCAATATCAGATTTGATTTTCATAACCTTTATTTTATCAAAACATTTACAAAGGCACATACTTGTTTTTCCATCTAATGCTCTTTCACGTTCTCATGTCAAGTTAACTTCATTAAAAACTAATCTTATATTAGCAATATTTGTACTCATTTTGAAAATCAATGTAATGAGCTCGCCTCATTACATGGCATCTTAAGGCAAGGCGCTGGCATAATCACCCTTAAAATAGTGACAACCTGGAAGGTGTACGAGTTAGTACAACTTCACCTCACGTTGTTGGTGGTCAGCTAACGGCTCATATAGCAATCTATAGGGGAATTGGATATATGATAAAAGCATTTCAGGAATTGCTCTTATTAGTCTTTTTACCTACCACCATTTTATAAAATTGAAGGCAATATAATTTCCAAACGCCCAAAGCATTAGACGCCAAAATAGTTGCTTTTCCATTAAATGAGTGTCACTAAAAAAATATATAATTCTATAATTTATAAATTTAATCTAATTCAGAGGAGTACTTTGAGTATGATCACTGCGTTAAATTATGTACAATAAAATAGCCATCCTTTTTAATTTCCATCACAATTCAAGTTCAAAAAACTTGCTAAATATATCTAAGATATTAAACAAAATATAATTATATAAGTTTGTAGCATAGATTAGAGGGATAAACTAATCCTCACTATTATCACTTCCGTCTGTCATCATATATGCTCTCTTCTATATAAATAGTTTTGTCGCCCTCATATCTTTCACTCGCTTTCTAGGTTCATCGTGTTCATTTTCAATATTTACTCCTCTAAAATTTAAGCTCCTATGTCATCAACTTGTTTCTCCATTTCTTGATACTATTTTCACATTATCTCATGTCAAATTAAAATCATAAAAAATTATCTTACATTTGCAGTATTAGCACTTATCTTTCAAATCAAAGTAAGGTGCTTTCCTCACTGCCTCATGTCTTAAGACAAGGTACTATCAAGCATTAATAAGAGTAACATCCCCAAAGGTGAACACGATAGTGCTACTTCGGACTTGAAACACCAATTTTATTGATACAAGCAAAAGGGTACGATTGTAGAATTTGAGCAAAACAATAATCAATAACTGTAGTGAGGATTATGGGGCCAAAGAACGATAAAAAGGAATATTATTGTGTAAAAAAGCATGAGAACACACATGGCAACACAACCTGGACTGCCAAATCTATGATACAGCTACGAGGAAGAAGAATGGGATTAGCCCCACATTCCCAAAATAAATAAACTCGCAATTCTAAAAAAAAAAAAACCCTTATTTATAAGCATTAAGGGCCCCCTTATTCATTTCCAATACCAGATCTTCAGTTGTAAACCTTCCATGGTGAGTTTTTGACCGAGACAACCAATAGTTCTTCGTGCAGGCATCTTAGGTCAGCCATTATGATGCCTGACAGTGAGTAAATGATATGTGCCTGGGCTGGAGCGAGAAGCTTTTAAGCAGGGAAAAATGGCTAGGAAACACAAACAAATTAAAAAAAAAAATGGAAAGCGAAAAAATAAAATAGCAAGTAAAAGCCCAAATCTATTCTTGCACTATGTCGACAAGGTATGATTTCAGGGTTTGGACAGAAAAAAAGAGAAACCAATTCAAAATTTTGAAAGAGAACTTCAGTTCACAGCAGGAAAAATAGAGCATCGATAGAAGACAAAAAACAGGCAGAAAAAATAGGGACGAATAGGAAGAAATGCACAAGAACTGATTTTGGTCGCCCGACTGAAATGAGTGCATCACCCTTAACTGTGATACCAAATGATACTGAGAAAAGGGTATGATTGTATAATTTCAGCAAAACAGTAATCAAGAGTTTCTATGAAGATTTTTGGAGACAAAGGACAACAAAAAGGTAATATTATTGATGTAAAGAAAACATGAGAATACACACGACAAGACACCACCTGGACCGCCAACTCCAGGATAATACTGCAAGGAAGATAAATGGGGTAGCCCCACCTTCCCAAAAGAAAGAAACTCACAATTCTATAAAAAAAAAACCTCCTATTCACAAAATAACCCCTCTTTATAAGCGCTGAGGCCCCCTTATTACAAGTTTGTCATCCAAATAGAAAAGCACATAAAAACAAAAATATAAAAAACCGAACTTTAACATAATGTGGACAGCAGTAGTAGTACTGATGCTCCTGCGTTAGTTATGCTACCAAAGAAACTGCAGGTTGACAATGATGGGATAAGATAGAAACCTATACGCTTAATTTTATCCTTGATTTTCAGAGATGTGTTGTCATTTCCAATTGCTCTTTTTTACCCAGTTTCTGAATATTTTGAATTAAAAACATGAAACTCTAAGCATTAATAAAGAACTTATGTAAAGCATTTAACCATCACCTGGTTCAACTGCTCCTGAATGAGACGAAGCTGGGATAAAACATCTGTAGAATGATTGCCGATGATAGGCCCATGCTCAACTAAAGAATCTGAGGCAAAGGGGCTAGATGCAGGTGATAACAAAGCTGATGCTTGAGATCGATTTTCTTTAGGTCTATTTAATTTTAAATCAGAAATTGGTTGTGAATTTGTACCAACAGGAGACGTATCCCTTAAGGGCACATCTTTTCTTTTGGTTTCTTCAACAGCTTCCTTGCCTGAACCTGCAGGCACGTCTAATTTTCCAGAACCAATAATATCCGGGGTGTGAATTTTCTCTGCATCATGCTCTTCTGTTTTAAAGGCATTTCTCTCAGCAAAATTGATTGGTTCCGAAGAAGGATGCTTAACTAATTTCCTCTGTTCTGTGAGGGCTTCGTGAGGTTCTTTTTCAGAATCATGCTTGGTGAAAGCCCTATCACCAACGACCTTACCATCCCCATGGCCTATACCATTTTTATCACTTACCTTCAGAGCAGTTGACTCCTCACTTCTAAGCCCATGATTAGGAAAACTGCTTTCAGGAGGAATGACACCTGACAATATCTCAGATGGAGTTACCAAATGTGTTTGTTTACTATCCGGCTTGAACAATGTATGGGCATTTGGCACCATAGGAATAGTTTCAATTACAGCCTTGTTTTTTTCCTTACCAGAGGTTTCGACAGGAGGAACATCAGGAGCATTTGTTACTACAGCATCCAATGTCTTGTCCACCATAGAATCATGGCCTTGGCTATCAACACTACCAGCGCTAAGTAATTTCTCTTGCTCACCAGAACCTGAGACGCCTTGCATAACATGAAGTTTCTCTGACAAATCCCGATTCAATGGGAGGGAAGGGGAAGAAGCTGCAACATCGCCAGTAGTTCTATCAATGTTTGAAAGTTGAGGGGCAGATATGGCTGCTTCAACATTTGAAGCAGCATGTTCATGAACAACAGTAGCCTCTGCGGTACCTGAAACTGCCTGGTATTTATTATCTTCAGAGCGGTTTGTAAGAATAGGTTTAGGTGAAAAATTTGCAAGAGGCCCATCATAACCTGTAGCTCCCGAAGATGAATGCGGAGCAGATAATCCTTCTGAAATGGGGCCATCATGAACAGAATTAGAGGCAAGTTTCTCCAACCCCTCATTGTCAACAGGAATTGGCAAGCACTGAGACAAATCCAATGCATACTGCTGAATAGCCTGTGTCTGCACGCAATAAACTTGAACAATCTGTTCCACATCTGACAACCAGTCACTTGTTCCAGTAAAACTCAATATTGGCATTGTAACAGTAAAATCTGCTATGTAGTCCATACGTGTTGAGGCTGGGTTTGGACCATAATCCACATGTAACGCATAGATAGCATTTTTCTTTGCATTTGCCAGTAATATAAAACTTGCTCGAGACAGCACTACAAATTGATTGAAAAATGCCTCCTCATGCCTGGGCTCGCTGGAACTTCTCAAGTCTAAGGTCTGATTACATTTCCATGACTCAGAATCACTTGGTAAAAGCCAACCTTCTTCACTGGCAGAGACCCATATCTTCAGTTCTCTGTTCAATGGGCCCTAAAATAACCATTCAAATGAAAAGACAAGTTATTACTAGATAAATATTAGACTGCTACTACGATCTTGTTCTTTGTGTATATTCTTGTAATTCCATTTTTAGGTAAAAGAACCACATTCCAGACATAAATGAGTGCTGAACAGTAAGATATTGACTAATTCACAATGGGGAACATTCAGATTGAATCTGCTAAATGACAGGACCATTGCAAGGAAAAGGGAAATGATAATACATTAAATGAGAAGCCACTGGGAAGAGCAATTTTGATTCATTGGAAAAGACATCAGAGACAATGAACCGGCGTCGAATATATAATAATAGCAACGAAATGAACAAGAGCAAAGAAGAAATCTTCTTAAGTTTAAAAAAGTGCTGGCAGACCAGCTCATATTGGGAAGGAAAACAAGGATTGGTATAAAACAGAATAAGAGGAAATCAATATCAAGCGAGCAAATAAGCTAATACTATACAAAGAATAAACATGATAGAGAAAGAGAATTCCCTGTTTCAAAGTGCGGAGCACAAAGCAAAACAAACGCATCATCATCATGAAATTCCATTTTTTTCTATTATTTCATAAATTTGACAAACAGGCATTCCCCTTAAAATTCATGACCTACAGCTCAAAATGACTCAGACCAATTTTTCAAATTCAAGATGACAAGGTAAGAACAATCAAATCATAATAAGCAAGTAGCAGCATTATGAAACAAAATTATTTCAGACATTATAAAAGTAAGAGAAATTTGCAAAATAAGTTGTGTATAAACATAAATCAAATCTAGAACACTAGCAATTTGAGTAGTAACTGTTGAACAAAAAGTGCAGGATAAAAATCCTACAGCATCTCCGCTAACTCAAAATTTTAATAAACTGATTAATATTGTAGAGAAAACAGTTATTGTGTAGACAAAGAGAGATCTTGGAATTGCAAATTACTTAAAATGCCAAGTTAGAATTTAAAGAATTCAAGCTAATAGCATAAAAAAAATTAAATACAGTTGATATCTAAATAGTAATTTCAATAACAACTAAGATTTTCTCATTTATACAATTCTTAACAAACAAATAATCAAGTTTCAGCCTTATTTCTATTTAGTCCAACCCTTTACTAGAATCAATAATAAAACAATTAACAGTAGGTTTTTTATATATCTTTAAACAAGATCAATATCACATTTATTATATAGAATGTCTACTGACAAATGTAATTGAAACATTTGTTACATAAAAATAGTTATTAAAGATATTCTTTATAAGCATAAAAACTTGGGACCGATATACATATTTTTAAAAATATAACATAAGCTTCATGTGCATTAACAAATGTAACTAAAAAGTTTCTACATATTACTAAGAGAAATTGACATACATAGCACCCAATTCTTATGAATTTACCTATCTCACACACATAGCACTTTACATATGGATGAAAAGATGGATTTGACTATTAAAAGGTGATAATGAGTGCTACTTTCAATATGATATTTGTAATTATGAAAATTTAGGTGTGAGATAGGTAAATATGAAAGTTTTGGGTGCTATGTATGTAAAAGACCCTATTAATAATTGTTATAGATATGCTTTAGATGTGTAAAATGCTTGGGAACCTCATACATATTTTTAGAAATTGTTAAAATAATCATGAACCCTTAGAAAACATTTTTCCATCCAGTAGCAACCAAATAAAACAATCCATGCACAGTAGCTTTCCATCTATAGTAATACAATAATCCATGGACAATAGCTTTCAATATAGCAATCTGATAATCCGTGAGCATCATCATTCCATTTATGTTGTGTAATCAATTATTAATTCTAGAATTAAAAGTTCATTTCTAAATTTGTTCATCTTATAGAGTCATTTCTCCACCTATTCATATACAACTTCTTATCTTATTTCTTGAACAGATGAGAATATAATCAATCATATAATCTCATTTTACACTCACATCATCTTATTCTAACTTCAAATATGGTATCAAAGATATTAAGGTTCTACTTGCCATGAAGTCAAAGGGTTCTTCAATATGAAAACTCTCTAATGTTGCATATGAATTCTCATGGCTATGTTTGGCTAGAGTTAATCATGATTGTTTAATTAACTAATCAAACAAATATGAATGCTTTTATAAATATTTAACTGATAAATGAACAAGCTTGCAGAAGTTGGTGTTCTACTCATTTATGATAATGAAAAAGTAGTATTTAAAGCTCTTTAAGAAGATCAATTAAGGCTTGATAATATGATCAATTGGGCTCAATTATAAATTTAATTGATATATGATTATATGGAAGTTTTGTTCTATTATATATTATGTTCTTTTTGTTCATGAATACAAGCCACTTGCTTATTCACTTCAATATATTTGATCAATTAGTAGGTCATTCAATTAAAATCTTATTTTTAAACCTAATAGGTTGCTCAGTAATTGGATCAATAAGGCTTTTTCAATTAACTAACAAGCGACTTGATAGAGTTTCTTATTAAGAGGCTCAATAAAGCTCATTTATTTAGCCGTGAAAAGATCAAAAAGTCATAATTTCAAATGAATCAAAATTGAACACTACTATAAATACTTGAATCAAGTTCAAGCTTGAATAGGGTTTTGGCAAACATATTCAAGATTGAGTAAGCTTCCAGCAGGCTCAACTCAACCCATTTGTAGCCCCAAGTCTTAATATAGAAAGATCCTCTTGGAACTGAAGACGATGGACAATATCATTGAAAGCAAGTGGTTAAGAAGCGACAACTTCAACATTAAAAATCAACTTTAAAATGCACCCAAATCCAAAAAAATTCATGATGAAATAAATAGCTATAAAAAAAAGAACCAACAACAAAGATAAATCCATAAATTCTCTCATTCATGTTTCATCCAGTAAATAACAGACTAGAATAAAAGTTTTGCTTAGAAAGTAGACTCGTGAGCTTTGTCATGTGAGAAAAAAAATATATCTTCCACAATTATAATTCAAGACATAAAAATTACAAGGTCTGAATTATAGATAGGCCACTCCAAATGTGGTTGGAATAAGTTTTACTATTCTCTCAAAAGTTCTGACACTTGACTCAATGCTTCTAGCACCTAACATAGATTGAGACTAACAATTAGCAAACTCCATCGAGCCAAAAAATTGTGTTGCGAAGTGCCTAACAATCTTTATCACTTTAAAAAATTGAACTAAAAAAAAATGATCATTAGTGCAGAGATATGTTCATAGCGCCATCTTCTACATAATGATCCTTAAACAAGATGCAGCTCAAAATGAATTGTGTATTCACCAAAATCTAACTTTATATTCAAAATATACTTCAAATATGGTAGCATTTGGCAATGGCACTATTGCCCATGACACCCAAGCTTTACTTTCCTTTAAAAATTAATTCCTTCTTTATTCATAAATAAAAATTATAAAGACTTTTATTGTGAGATTTGTCATATAGCTAAACAAACTCAGCTAACATCACAGTCAAATCAACAAACTTTTCCAGACTTCGCTTTAGTTCACAATGGTTTATGGAGAACACCTAAAGTCAAAAAAAAAAAAAAAACTTTGGAGCTAGCAGTTTATTTCCTTCATAAAAAATTATACACGTCTCACTTGAGCTTTTTTAATAAAAGAAAAATCCATATTAAGGACAAATTGTTGGATATTTTACGCCCTAATGCACTCAATTTCAATCCAAAATTCAAGTCCTGAAAGCAACAAATATCACAAAATACTTGACACCAAACTTCATGAGTTAACACACTTAGCAAAATCTAATTGATGAAAGAAAAATAAAAAATTATTAGACTTGACTAGATCAATGCTATTTTTTGCAAATAAGTCAATATATTTTTGGAAAGTTGTCCAAACAAGTACATATCTTATTAATAGAGTGCTCTTCAAACTACTTGAATTTCAAAATCCTACTCAAAACCATCTTTATTCATTTCCCAAGACCCAAAAATTTAAGGTTTTCAGACTTCATCTATACTCATTCTCAATATCATCTATACTCATTCTCAATATCAAAGAAAATTAGAGTTTAATATTACCAAAGATATCTTTATTAGATAATCTCCAAATTAAAAATGATACAAACGCTATTCTTCAAACACTAGAAAAAATTATAATTCCATGAATGTAACCTTGAACATAAACCTTGTTATTCAAGGGATAGAAAATTCAAAAGCAAAAATGACATAATTTTAAAGCAGTCTTTTCATAATAAATTAATTAGTAAAGGAGATGGTTCTTTTTCTTTTCCATACAGGCAATTTAGTAAATAAAGGAGATTTAAATGTCATATGAATTGAATAGGCCATAAAAAACTTATCCCTTCAAAGAGAAGGGAAGTTTTGGAAGGTTTCTTTCAAATTATCATGAGAATTGGGAAGGGTTGCCCAAATTTGGGGGTGAGTTTTCCCAAATTTGGAGAATCTGGGAAAGTAAGGATTGTAGCGAAGTCAAGAAATTTCCCACAACAAATTGCCAGAGTTTCTACGCTACATTCTAGGTCCCTAATCTTTGAATTCCATCGACTAGAAATAGGGGCGGTGTCTATCCAGGTCGAAAAAACTATCACAGTTCTCTTGTCTTTGCGTTAAGAAGACCTTTAAGTGGGTATGTGGAGATGTCAGAACTAATTGCAGCAATTTTAACACCCCCCACCAAAAGAAAAAAAAAAAAATCTAAATGAAAAGGAAGACCCTGTGCAATTGCAGGGTGACATTAACTCTGACTGCAACAACTGTAAAACAAAACTTGTTGTGCGTACTGAAACTAAGGAAAAAAGATAGAAAGCAAGGCTATAGCAATTGATGGCAGGCAAACCATACTTGCATTGGTTTTTCTTGCCTTTGTTAGGTTCTATGACACAGGAGATTATCGTTGATGCGGTATTGTAGTTGTTATAGTACCACGAGACACAGAAGATAGGCCGAAACAGTCCTCTTTTCCTTTCTTATATTTTATTTCTATTTAACCTTCATTCCTTTTAGTCATTTCC